TTTCAGACAGACCACGTACTTACACATTGACAGTGGGTAATTTAAGTTTCCTAGACATATAAGTTGATAATAACACACACACACACACACGTGTGTGTATGTATATATATTTAATGAAAAACAGACCACTTTAAGGTACCATTAGAATAATTTATTTCCGTATACTTTGTATTGTCTCTTTAACTGCCACCTTCACCCTCCCTGTTTAATTACATAAATTACACTACCCATCAATTTCTAATCCCATTTTTCCTCTCATTTCATTGTTGGAAGTGTTACCTGATGATCTGAAATCCTTTAAAAAGGATTTTGGTGAAATAAATTATTGTCATGGTACCTTAAAGTGGTCTGTTGTTCATTAAATATTAGCTCTGTTCTTCACATTGAGCTCTCAGGATTTCATCCTCCTTAGATTTACCAATTCAGTTTACCAAGTTCTTCATAACTTAACTATATATATATATATATATATATAGTTTCCTTGTACCTTTTCTATAAATATTTTCATAGTAATTGTTCTGTTGAACTTTCTTCTATCATACCTTAGCTTTATGAATTTAAGTGCAGTATTACAGCCAATCTGTAGTTATGCAAATCAAATAAACCTCAATAACTCAAAAAGTTCTAAACCAATATTTGTCAAATTTAAACCTGCCCATTTCCACCCTTAGTAAAATATTTAACTAAATTTTCTGCCATTTTTAATGGTTAGTTTTTAAGATATTTGGAATTTACAAAAATGGACTGACTGAAGTTAGTATGCAGATTAAACTAATATTAGCTTCAGACCTCTGATATCTAATAAAAACTATTTTTTTTCTTTTTTATACATAATATATATTGAAACATAGGTAAAGGAAAGAATGTAACAACTGCTGAAAAACAGAAAATAACAAAGTTATTGAGTGAGGGAATGACAAAATTTGAGATATCAAAGGATCTTTGCAGAGATCATTGAATAATAAAGAAGGCTGTTGAAAATATAAATAAGAAAACAAAGAAAAAGGCTTTAAGAACTTGCTTCCTGGAGATAAACATTAACTAAAGGGAGTTATAGTGAAACAATTACTTTTGACCAGTTCTCAGATCTTTGAAAAGTCTGGAATTGAAGGAGTCAAGAAGGACAAAAGTTATAGAATACTCTGTGAACTGGGATCTGTAAAAAAAAAAAAAAAAATCTTCTAGGCAACCTCTTCTCATCAAAGCAAATATTTTAAAATGTCAAAACTAGGCCAAGAAATACATGAAAATTGACTTTTCTAAAGTAATTTTCATGGATGAAACTCAAGTGACATTTAATGGACTTGATAGATTGGCCAAAAGATGGATTTTATCCAATTTAGACAAGCCTATGGCTAAAAGAAGGCAACAAGGAGGTAGTAGTGTTATGATATAGACTAGAATTGTCAACCAAACCATTACTGGACCATCAGTGAAGGTGTTAAACTGAACAGTGCTCACTACTGTGATTTTATGAAGTCCCAATTTCAAAGTGAAGTGTGTATTTATGCACAACAATGCTCCTTCTCATGTATCTAAGCTTACCTGGGAATTCTTTGAGCATAAAATATTTACAGGAGAGAAGATAATGGAATGGCCACCATCAAGTCCTGATTTGAATCCAATCGAAAATCTATGGTCAGTTGTGAAGATGAAATTATATGAAGCTGGCAAACAATATAACAAAAAAGCAGACATATAGGAAAATACTAGGTCAAAAATTGAAACTGCTGAAGTAAAAAAAAATAATAATAAAATCAATAGATAATAGATTACTGACTGTTTTTGAGAAGAAGATTCACTATATTAAAATAGAAAGGATTCAAAGACTTTTCATCTGTATTTATTTTTTTTCTATTATTAGGTGTTGATCAATTTTTGATGCTACCTAAAATTTTAATGCAGGTTTTGTTTTGACATTAAATTGATTGTTCAAAATGTGACAATTTCTTTTTTCAAACCAAATTTGAATTATTGAAGTTTATATGATATGCTTAATAACTTCAGACAGGTTGTAGATTGGTGTCAAGGTTTCATCATTTTGCAGTTGGAATGGCTAGATGTAACCAAAAGTTCTATGCTAAGAGTTTCTTCTATTGCACTTCTCGCTTGTGGAACTCTCTTCCGGCTTCTTGCTTCCCAGTCAAGTTTGATCTTTAAAAATTAAAATGCTTGTCTTCTTAATTCTTGTTCTTTTATTGATTCCTCTCCTTAATAGTATTTTTTCTCATATTCTCTTACACTCAGCAACCCCATGCATCTTAGTAGCTTTATTGCCTTGGTTGGGAGTAAAATGATTATATTATATATATATGTGTGTGTAAAAATATATAGAAAATAGGAAAGAACTCGTTAGGTAAATAATCCAAAGTTCTTTAGTATTTTTGTTATTATTTTTTAAAAATAGTGCTCAATACAAAAGTAGAGCATAAATATAATTATTTATTTACGAATATGATTGTAGCATTGGAATCATATTTTTTAAATAAATATATATATATATATATATATATATATATATATATATATATATATATATGCATATATATATTCATTCAGGCAGGTTTCATTGAATAATAAAGACATTATTTTTATACTGATCTTTTCAAGTTCTCTAATCAGTTTCTTGATGTCAAGATGAAATTCATCAAGGGATGCATCATAGTTTTTTCTAACCCAAGTACTTTCAATCTTTTCCAAGATCATCTTAGGGGTAAATTACCAAGACAAACTTATTATAACTCTGATAAAATTTGCATTTCACTGTGATGCTAATTTTATTTATTTATTTTTTTAAAAAAAAGGCATGATCATGCTCTGTAATTGTTTTAAAATTTATTTTTTGTAGTTATGGAATTTTTTGCAAGCCAATTTTATCACAGTTACAATAAGTGCAATAAAATTGTTTTAGAATTTATTTATTTATTTATTTTTTTTACTTTTGCAATATCACGTAGCAAAATAGCTTTACATCTACAAATAGAAACTACCATTTCTCATTTATTAACTTAAAAAAAATCCCAATAGTGTTACTAACAATAGTACTTGAAGCAGATTGCCAGTCAAGCAAGCTACAAAAGCCATACTAAAAGCTAAGTTCATAATCTCGATAATTGCCATATTTAATGGCATATCAGGTGTATGTAAAGAAATCATCTTTTATCAATTTGACAGGGATTATTCCAGCACAACTGGTAATTTATAGAAGTGAAGGTTAACCCTTCATTATTAACAAGCCATGTTTGAACACCAGAAAATGTTACTTTATAGCACCTCACAAAATGCTAATTCTTTAATATTTAGCAAGTGACAAGTAAAATTTTCATGATTGATCAAGCAGCTTTCTGATTACCTGTGGCAGGTAACTACAAGGAGTTTCTGGTTTTAGTCATAATATTTGTACAGTTTACAAGCATTTGGCTGTAAAGATTGACTGTATTAATATCTGTCTTTCATAATCTTCACTTTTTACCATGAGATGCTTGAACAGCTTGCAGAATATTTTTCCTCAATATGTAACAAGTGGCAAGTCAAATTTCGAGGATTAGTCAAGTAGTTTTCTGAAAGTTTTTTGTCATGTAACTATTTGGCTAAAAGAAAAGTTCTCGTGGTTTCTAAATAAATTTAATGTTCTACCAACAGCAAGAACTTTCCTTCAGAACCAGATACAAAGAGTTTCTGATTTTAGTCTTAATATTTGTTTGAGTTACAAGCTCTTTTATTTGTTTAAGGATGTAAAAAAATTCTGTAGTACTAACAAAGTGATTATTCTATTACTGGCTTGCTAACCATCTTTCTAGAAACTGTTTAGCTTAATCTGGCAGAAGGCTACACGTGACGATCAAACTAATGGTATGTAAAACTATCTCTTAACCATTATTCCATGACTAGATACCTTAACAAATATTACACTGGCACGAGTCCACAAGTATAGGACACCTAGTGAGGATTGAACACACTAGAATAATGTAAAATTTCATCTCCCCAAAATTTACTTCCAAACTATATAGACATTACTATAAATCACTATAAACATTATGCAGACCTTGCCTATGCTTAGTTTTCAGTTCGATTGCAGACCATGTCTATGCCTAATTTCCAACTTGAGCACAGACCTTGCCCAAACCTAGTTTTCAAATTGAATGCTTACAGGGTCTAGTTTTCATCCTGAGCACAGACCGGGCCTATGCCTAGTTTTTGACTCAAGCTCAAACCAGGCCGATGCTGAGTTTTTGACTAGTGCAGACCAGGTCCATGCCGAGTTTTTGAGTCTAGCACAAATTGGCATCTGCTTAGATTCTGGCACTAGCACAAACTAAGCCTATTCCTAGTTTTTCACACTAGCTCAAACCAAGCCTATGCCTAGTTTTTGACTCAAGCATAGACTCAGCTTATACCTACATATTTATTAAGTAAGTTTTCACTGGTCTTATATTTAACAGTAAATGACTAAATCTGTTTATATATTTTTAAATTCTCCAACCAATGAATCTTACCTGATGTTTTTAACTCTCTTAAACTATTTTATCAGTTTTCATAAAGGTCCACTTGTTGGTGTTTCATTAGCAAGAATCTTTCCTTTTGCAGAGTTCATCTTTGTTTGATGATGCTGAAATTCTTGCTGACATTCCTAAAATACATACATCATAAAAATCAGGATGCAATGAATCAGAATTCAAATCAAAACAAGAAAAGATAAGAAGAAAAACTTTAATTAAATCTGATCCATTGTGTTATACCCGACTTCATATTAAATTGGATTTTTACTGTACTTACTTTAATTTCTAAAGCTTATTTAATTCTTATTTTATTCTGTTTTCAGGTGCTTTTCCTGCTTGTTACCTGTGAGCGATGGGGTCAGTAATGACCCCCAAAATGCAGTCATCTGGGTGAGGCTACGTCAGTCTACTGAGAAAGTCTTGCCACTTGCCCACATCCAATCCAGTTTGAAGTTACCACCTGCAGTTCTCCAAGATCAGACCCACTTGTAACATTCCAAAATGGATTATTTTTCCTTTCTCCATATGAATGTCTCCAGTTTGGTACCTGGACTACACCATTACTTACTCTCCTTGGATATAGACTATATGCGATGGGTACTCTGGGTAATCTATCCCATCATCATCTCTTTCCTCCTGCCTCTACTCATTGTGATCTTCTTGCTTGCCTCAGTGCTTTTCTTGCATGTTTACTCTTATCGCCATAGACTCCGTAAGGCCTATGCTCAAGATTTTTGGCAAGGGGCCCGACAGACCCTGGCTGTATTGTGGGATGGACAAGGTTACATTTGGCATGGTATGTAGACATATAGTTTAATTATTTGTTTTATAAGTGAAACATTTCTATTTCAGATGAAAGCCGGGGATAGGTAACTGTTTTTTTATTTTATTTTTTAGTATTAAATAAGTGATAAAGAAATTACTGGAGAAATAAATTTATCAACCTTCAGAAATATGAGAAATATATATTTTTTGACAATTTTTTTTTTTTTTTTTTTTTTTTTTTTTTTAGTATTGAATGAAAATGATAAATTTATTTATCTGATATTTTCTTTTTCAACCTTTGCAAGGGTTTACTGAGTGAGAAAGAATAAGAGAAAAAGAAAAACATTATTAAGAAGAGAGAACATTAAATGAACAGGAATTAAGAAGACAAAAGATAATGATTGCCATTACATTTAAATCTTTTGAAGTTCAAAGTTGACTGGACAGCAAGAAGCCAGAGAGAATTCCCCAAGTGAGGAGTGCAAGAGAAGAAACTGTTAGCATAGAACTTATGATTACATCAAGCCATTTCATCTGTAAAATAAGGGGACCTAGTTGCCAATCTAGTACTGCACTTCGTAAAGATACCAAAGAGGAAAGCTCATCAGAATAATTACCATGAAAATATTTGTAGAAAAGGCAAAAGCACAGGTAAACTAAATTACAGCAGTGGGAAACTAACTGAATCTAAGATGCCAGGTCAGGACAAATAAATTGCAGATTCTTTTTTGTATTTTATCAAGAATCTCCAAATTCATAACAGAAGCACCAGACCAAATGTGTCCGCAATATTCAATTCCTGGAAAAATTTGATGAATAATTTTTAAATTTTCTTTTTATAATTTCCAAAGAATTGAAGAATAATTTTTACTTTTCATAATTTTACATTTATTTTATATTTTTGATCTTTTTTTTTTTTTTTGTTTTTGCAATTTTAGAAAACTAAGACTAAAAAAAATAATAATTAAAAAAATAATATTCTTAAAATCATTATACTCATGAGGTCTCATACAATACGCATATATTTGCATTTGAAATATAGCATTCCAACAAATGCTCGACTAGTCAATAAATGGCATTAAAAACAAAAAACAAACTCGTTTTGATAAATTAAGCCTCAATGCTATACAAATAAAATTGTTTTATATAAAAAATAATTTAAAGTAGGCTAAATCCTGTATTACATGATAAACAAAATTTCAACTACTTTCTTAAAATTAGAAAATTATAACGACTTCATATAACTTGACTCTGGCTAAACTTACCAGGTAATCTCTTCAGAAAAATAGCAGCTCAGAATATGAAATCTGAGAGACGAGTTCAAATTCCAGTCATGTTCATTAGATTCACTAATGTATAAATCCATCTCTTCTCTGCATTTGGACTTCTAGGAAAATCATTTTTATTCTAAAAAAATTGTTAATGCAATATTCCTTTCAGAAAAAAAAAGAATTATTGTTACAATGCCAAATGTTTTGGCTTTAAATAACCTGAAAAGGGTTGATAAGCTGTAAAAAAACAAACAAATCAATCAGAAGAATTCCTTCTTTCCTGCAGTTTTTTTTCTTCAGATTTCTTTACGCGTGCTTCAGACTTTTCAGCCAACTGACTTGGTTTGAAAATCACATTGAAGCAAGAAACAGTCAGTCACCATGCAGTGTTGATTCCTATATCCATACTGTGCATAAAATATAAATGCTCCAATACTGAGCATTCTTCCCCTATAAATATAGAAAATTTGTGCATTTCGTCATGGTGTAATGGTTAGTAAGTTTTTCTTGATACATCAGTTATGACTGTAGCATGTTTGATCCTCACTGGGTGCCCTATACTTTTGGCCCTGTGCCACACCTAAGATACACTAGTAAATTGCTATAAATATAGCATATTTAAACAATATTTATCAGTAATTATTATGCCACTAAGGGATTCTTTAATCCTGTATTATTTCATAATGTTTTAACCCTTTAGCTTTCAACAAGTTCAAATCTGCCTCGTAAATATTGGCTCTCAAAGTCCCAATGTTTTGTAGTCAAAGCCTAATTTCTTACGTTATTTGCAATGATGTCATCATATATTATGGCAGAGTATACATGGCAGGTTTAAGCAAGTTGAACATTGACAGCTAATATTTATGGGGCAGTTTGGAGAAGCTGTGGTTGTATTCCTTTAATCTGGTGTTTTTCAAAGCTGTCTTTGGCAGTGTTGGTAATTATCAGCTTTTCAGAATGTGAAGTTGCATTGTCTTGCATGAATATAATCTTCAGCTTAAAGCTTCTTGGTAGTAACTCGTACCACTCAAGAGAAAAGCTGGAAAGTGAGGACTGGGCAGCTCCAGCCCAGATACTTCAACAAGATTCCATTATTACTTTGTAAATATCATCCCTGCTTTAATATTGTTTTGCATTCGCATATACATCTCTTTTAACCCTTTAGAATTCACTCCCCCCCTTAAATATTGTCTCTGAATGTCTCACTGTTTGGGATCAAAGTCTCACTGTTTACGTGTTATTTACAATGATGTCATATATTATGGCAGAGAATTTGTGGGGCAAGTTACAGTGGATTGAACATTGAGAGCCAATATTTACGGAGCAGAATGGGTTGAATGCTAAAGGATTAATTACGAACAGCAAGTTTTCTGTTTGATTAATATGGGGACAAACTGGATGTGTGTATTCCATTAATTTGGTGCTTTTTAAAAGTTATTTTTGGCAGTTTTGTAATGCCCGTTTGTAGGTAAAAAATTTGTAAAGCACAGATACAACAATAGTAATACCTTCAAACAATACTCAGTCAGACGCCACTAATTCCCATATATATAATTTTCCTTTACCCAACACGTGATGTAAGTATTTCAAGAAGAGGTCGACTGTGCTTGCTCTATGGCGATCCGTGTTTAAATCCAAATGTTGGCAGCAACACTTTATTCCTATATGATAGACAGTTTCGGTAATTGTCAGCTTTTCAGCTTGTAAAGTTGCATTGTCTTACATGAACATAATCTTTAGCTTAATGTTTTTTTTGGTTCGTCGTGGATAAAACGATAAGCTACATCCAGCAGCAAAGCCTCTGATTGGGAGACTGGAGGTTTTGAGGAGTGTGGAACCACCTCTTCTGCTGTTGTTCCCACGGTCACTCTGACCCAGGGTGGTAGCACCTGTTGGGGTCCCAGCTATGGGCAAATAGTGACCCTCTCCCTACCAAAAAAAAACACTTCCTGCATTATTGGCAATGATGTCATCATATATTAAGTCAGAGTATACACGGAGCAGGTTATGATAGGTTGAACATTGAGAACCAATATTTATGAGGCAGGTTTAGGCGGGTTGAATGTTAATGGATTAAACATTATATTCACTAGGCTTGACTGTTTTTCCATCAGTCTGCATTATTTCTTTCTTCCAACAAGCTACATAGGACTATAGATCAGCTAATCCGTTTACTCAAATAAAACGAGCTTACAGCTATATCACATTGAAACACTGGTTCTGGCATGATCACTGAAGTTAAGCAACATCAAGCCTGGTCAGTACTTAGATTGGTGAATGCTTGAGAATACCAAGTGCTGTTAGCTTGGATGTGTGGGTGGTGTAAGGATAACGACTCAGAATTGTTAACTGAAGAGCTAAGTTCTAATTCCAGTTAGGTTCATTATATTTACTGATGCGCAAATAATTTTGAGAAAGATATGAATCCATATTAATTAGTAAGACTTGTATCACAAAATCATTATTATTATTGTCTCAAAAAATAATTCTTACAATGTCAAAATATTTTCTGGCTTTAAATAACCAAAGGGTTGATAAGCCATAAAAGATTAATCAAAACACAGACAAGACTGAAATGATTATTATTTTGATGTGTTTTTGTTTCAGGCTCCCCAAACATTTTAGACTGTTGATCTTTTATTTCCTTCATATACAAAAAATATCATTAATAATTATCTTTTAATTAAGGATTTATCCTTTTCTTTCATTATTCTTCTATCTAAATAAATAAACGGCCAATTCTGTCTGAAATGGCTCTAACTTGGGTCTCACTTGCTCTACATAGACATATTATAACTTTTTGGAATCTGGATGATCCCAGGAGTGAAAATCTGTCCTTCATCTAGTGCTTTAACATTCAGCATTTGGATTTGTGCCTGGATGAGGTGGAAACAGTTAAAAATTCAAATTTTTAAAATATTTTAATTTAATATTAAGTTTAAAGTAACATGAATTCAAAAATTTTTGCTTTAAATTCAGTTTAAAATATCTCCAAAACTTTGTGAATTGAGGAAATCAATTTTATTTCTTCAAAATACCAAGGAATCAGAGTTAAATTGAGAGGTTTCATAAGGTGCAGTTTTGAAGTTCTGAAGAGTTTGTGATTTGAAGAACTCAGTCTGAATTGGAATCTCGGCTGAAATCAATCTTTTGGCCGGAATTGGATCTATAGCCTGAATCGGAGTTAAAGTGAGGTTTTGAAGTTCTATGGAGTGAATTGTGGAATTCAAAGTTATTTCTTCAAAATTATCATTGTTGTTTTCTAAGTTCAACCAGAGGTCTCTTTTGTTTGAGGCCATAGGCCCAATAAGCCTTCAGCAGGAGCTATCTTAAAAGCTAATTCTTTTAAACTAGTTTTCAGCAAGATCCATTTTAACTTATCTTTAGTCATTCCTTTTTTTTAATTACTATTTCTCTTCTGATACTAGATGTGTTTGCTCAAATAATAATAATCCTTTTTCTTCTATGTAGCAAGTCCCTTCAGGACATTGGCAATCATGGCTCTCTGCAATTTCCTTTCCTTTGTAGCTCTTGATGAATTTTATCTTTTTATTATCTCACCTAAAACTTATTCTGCTTTACTCATACTCACTAGGAAGGTTATGTATTGTTTACCTCTGTCCCTCTTGCTTTTAGTCTGTCCTGTGAGTATCAGATTTCCAACCTCCCTTTCCTCATTATGGGCCCTTGAAATTTCAACCCTCTTTCTGATGTTACGTGTAAGTGTCATTTTTGTTTCCGTTTTCTCTAAAACTTTGTTGGTGCTCACAATTTTGGTCCATGGTATTCTCAGCATCCTTCTGTAGAATCAGATTTCTGTTGCTTCAAGTCTCTTCTTCATCAGTGAGAAGAATTTCCAGCATTCACTGCCATATAGGACGATTGATATTATATAACAGTTCAGTATTCCTTTCTTTTGTTCCTAACAGATTTTTTTTGTTTCTTAATACTTTGCTTAGCTTTTCAAAGGCATCTTTCGCGATCTCAGTATGCCTTTGGATTTCAGTATTATACTTTCCGTCCTCTGTTAAAACACTTCCCAGATATTTAAAGTGTACTTATTTGATTTTGCTATCTCCAATTTGTATTTTGCATGTTGGGCTGTTGTTTTTACTGACAACCACGTATTCTGTCTTTTTGCAATTGAGGTTTAGCCTTTTCTTCTTACTTTCTTTCACTATCTTCTGTAGAAGTTCTTGTAGTTACCTGCTATCAGCACTGTGTCATCTGCATATCTTATGTCAATATTGTGGCCACCCATAATCGATCCTGGTAGGACTTTTAATTTTCTGAATTGTCTCACTGTATAGATTGAATAAGTTCAGTGAGAAGATATTTTTTTGTCCTACATCCCTTTCTGTTTTTGCGTATTTACTAAATTAATTTTCTATATGTAAGCAGGCAATTCACTGCCAGTATAGGTTCTGGATTATTCCACTATCCTTCCTAAATATGTCAATGTTACCTTGTAATTCCCTCAGTTTTTTTGACATAGAAGCTACTAAATTAGAGTGCAGTGATGTGAAAAAAAAAATAAGAAAATGCCTCATTGATGTAGTTGTACTTTGTAACATCTGCATGACCTCTGGATAGACGTTGCCAAAATGTGGGATGTTCGGGTCACTATTTCCCCAGATATCATTGGAATGTTGGGGTCTGTAGCACCAAACCTAAAGACCTACATTAAGAAAATCAGAATAAAGTCTAGTATCCCTTCATTTTAGAAGACTACATTTCTGTGAAAGGTACTATCTGTTTCAGGTCGTACAACTTAATGGAGAACACTCTTAATTCAAGTTGAAAATGGGCTTACAGCCATATCATGTTGAAAAATCGATTCTCATCCAATTACCAGTTAAACAACATTGAGCCAGGTTAGTACCTACATGGGTGACTGCTCGGGTATGCTTGGATGTGCAGGTGGTGTAATGGAGAACAGTTTAGAATGAGAAATTGGAGATCCAAGTTTGAATTTGAGTTAGGGTTCATTATATTCACTAATGTGCATATAGACTTGGGAACAGTATAAATGCAACAATTCTCTTCTCAGCTATTGGTTAAACAGTAAGACTTGTATCAGAAAATTATTTTCATCTCCAAAAATTCTTGCAATCCCAAAATATGTCTCAGCTTTAAATAGCCTTAAAATGGTTGATAAGCCATAAAAAATCAAATCAATCCAGTTAAAAATGAAAAAAAAAGCATGCAGAAGAAAATAGTTGTAATAGAACTTCATGAGTCATATAGACTATAATAAAAAATATTAATCATAAATCAATGTCTCTTTTTATTTTGGTTGACATCCTTAATGGGAAGGATATGTTTGACGAGCAATAACAAGGCCATTGACATTTGGTTGGAAATCGTTGAGTTTTAATTGCAAGTTAGCACACTCTTCTACATTCACTCACTCCTTTGCTTAATTAGAATTGCATTTGCATGGCTTTTGACACCCAGGTATTATTTAATCACTTGGTTAGTCTTATTAACCCCCAGGGGTTGATATTAACCCCTTTGGTGGATCCCAAAGATCGCATGGCAAGACTTCAACTCAACAAGCTGATGTGTTTGCCCATACATGTTTGAATTTCTATGATGTGCAGTTATTATTATTTATGTTATTTACATTTGAACAATTGTCCTCATCTTTGTTGTTGTTATCACAACATTTCATTGTGCCTTCCACCCTTCATCAGGCTTATATCGATCTTGGTAAGCTACAGGGAATTCTGAACTGAACCCTTTATTTAATCTTTGGGTGTAGATTGTTCTTGTTTCACTGCCCATTCCAGGGATATCTCATCTACTTATTTTTTAGTACTGCTCAGTTATTGCTAGCACGTTCCCACCACGTCCAAGTACACACTGCCCACCTCAGGTTTTGAGTGATTGATTGATTTGTTTTCTATGGTTTATCAACCCTTTGTAAGTTATTTAAAGTCAGAAAATATTTTTAGATTGTAAGAACTTTTTTTTTTTTTTTTGAAATAATGATTAGTGATACAAGTCTTACTAATTAACCCATAGGTGAGGGGGAGAAGAGGTGGATTCTTACTTTTCCCAAGAGTATTTGCACATAAATGAATATAATGAACCCAATGGGAATTGAAACTCGGCACTCTGATTAAAAATTCTGAGCCATTATCCATTATGCCACCTGCACATCCAAGCTTACAGCATGTGGTATTCCCAAGGGTTTACCCATCAAGGTACTGACCAGGTTTGATGTTGCTTAACTTTGGTGATGATATGGGAACTGGTGTTTCAATGTTATAGGGCTATAAGCTCAGAGTTGGTTGGTTGGTTTGTTGTTTTGTTTTATGCCATATCAACCTCAGTGGGTCATTTAATGCCAACAAATTTTTAAAAATAGATTCATAGCAGTAGTTTGGTAAAAAAAGTTGTGTATGTATACATATATATTTGAACCATTTTTCAATTACTCATATTTTTTAGTACAGTCCAACTTCTTTTAGGAAATTTACAATCTTGTTTCTTTTTTTTTAAATTACTCACTTGGTAATATTTTGTTTGCACTAGATCAAAATCTACACACTCTAACAGTAGATGTTTAGCCGGTAATATTTTTTCTAAAAATGCATTGCTGGTAACATTCTTTTTTCAAAAACGTATTGTTGGTAACATTTTTTTTTTTTTTTTTTTCAAAAATGTATTGCCGGTAATAGTTTTTTTCTTCAAAAATTTATTGCCGGTAATAAGTAATAAGTATTTTTGGTATTAAAACCTATTTTTACACTTTCATAGTGTTTTTACCCCAGTTTCGAGGTTAACTATTTGCCCATAGCTAGGACTATAAGCTCAGGGATTAATTAGTAATTATGAGTTCAATCCCTGCGCTGGGCAGTATGTATTTGAACTCAGTGGAAATGGGTGAGCAATAACTGAGCAGTACTAAAAATAAGAACTAGACAAGATATTTGTAGACATGGGCAGTGGAACAAGAACAGTTTATCCTCATGGATTAAATAAAGCGTTCAGTTCATAATTCCCTGTCGGTTATCCACATCAATATATACATGATGAAGCCTGGAGAGCACAATGATTGAGACGTAATAACAACAACATAGATGAAGACAACAATTCAAATGTAAATAGTGTAAATATTTGAACTCTGTTTTTTCTTGGCACTTTGGTAACAGATTGTTCTAGTGACTAAGGTACCAGATGGAATAAAGTTTGTCCCTGTGGAACTTTTCATATCTGTCTTCTCCTTATTTCTTTTGTTATTCTTGAACTCTAAATGGAATTACAACTTATGTACAAGCACATGCAGAATTAAAAAAAAATAATGATTATATTATCAAACCTGTTGTGTGAACTATGTTGTCATTATTAATATTTACTTATTTTTTTTTAAAAAATCTTATTTTTGTTGCTTTTCATTACTCAGGTCAGTTGACATTATATTACTATAAGTATCATTAACCTTTATAATTGAATGTGCTCAAACCTGCCCCATAAATATTGATTTTCAAAGTCTCATTACTTATGTGACTTCCTGCATTATTTGTATAGCAAAGTATACGTAGGGTGGATTATGGCAGTTTGAACATTGAGTGCCAATATTTATGGCATGGGTTTGGGCAGTTTGAATGCTAGAAGTCTTAAAGAATGTAGCTGTATGACTTAGCATATTTGATGGCATATAAGACACACCTCAATTTCAACAGGGCAAATCAAGAAAAAATTAGTAAAATTATTAGTAAATGGTACAGCCTAGGATATAGTTATGAGGTATAATTTTGGTTAAACAAGTCATGATTACAATTAAATGAAAAATAATAGGAAAAAAAAGAACCCAAGCCTATAAAAACTTTATTATATCCAAAGGTAAGAAAACAAAATAAAAATCGAGCAATTATTATAATTGAACAAAACAGTACAGTTACCATTAAAATTCAGTCAAAAATTTTCCTTTATATGATCTGTACAACTTGCGTCTTGTAAATATTTTATTGGAATAATTAGACTATAAAAATTCTGATTGTATTTATACCAGTTCAACTGAAGTTATCGCAAAAAATATTAATGAAACATATATATTTTAAAAATATATAATTTGAATTTATTGCATATAATTTTAGTGAATAAACATAATGAAATTAATATAATGAATATTATCAATGATAACACTTTTAATCTGGACAATAGCCTTTTAAATAATGACGATAAGTATATAAAAGTTACTCTAAAGTCTAAGCTAATAGGAGTTGCCAGGTAGCTAATTTTTCAGCTGACTATCGCAAATTTTAAACCTACATATGGCATATAAGATGTAGGCAAATTTGAAAAGATATTTTCAGTAAAAAAAAAAAAAAGTGCACCTTATATGTTGTCAAATACAGTAATTTGAATGACTTCCGCTGTTTGGTAATTAGTAAAGCATCATCTCAGCAGATATTAGATACAAATTCAAGTCGTGTTGGAAGCTTTTTTTTACTTTTTAATTTATGGTCTATGCTGCTTGTTTAATGGTCTGAGAATATAAATTGACCTGCAAGAAGAAAACATTAAATATATGATGCAACAAGAAAAACGTATTGTCAAACTTTGATTATCCCGCTTGACTATATTCAGAAATATAATAATGAAAATATAAATATAATAGAAAATAAATAATGATAATATAATAATGAAAATATAAATATAAATCTTATAAATTTGAATATTAATTTTATTAATATTTATTTATTAATATTATTTTTGATATTAAATATTAAATTAATATTGACATTAAATATTTAATAAATATATTTTAATAATATTTATTTTTATAATATTTATTTTTATTAATATTTATAAATCTAAATATTAAATCTAAATTTTATAATATTTTATAAACATAATATAAATAATGATAAATATAAGAATGATTTCTGCTTATAAATGAATAATGACTTATAATAATGAAAATAATGATTTCTGCTGCTTGATTTTCATGACCTAATCAGTGAAGCATCGTTCCGGCAGATTGGTTCTTAAGGTTATTGGATACAAGATCAAGTCCTGTTGGAAGCTTTTTTCTTTTTTTTAAATTTCTGGTCCATGCTTCTTGTTTAATAGTCTGAGAATATCAATTTGATGTGTGAGAAAAAAATGTTAAAATATAAGATGCCAGAAGAAAAACTTGTTATCAATTATCCCTCTTGACTATATTTGCTTTCTTTTCTACAGATTATGAGGTTGAAGGCTTCAGCAATGTTCCCAGCTCTGGTCCAGCACTTCTAATTTACTATCATGGGGCAATTCCCATTGATGTCTACTATGTTATGGCAAAATGTATCATTGACAAAGGACGAACAATTCGAGCAGTCGGAGATAGATTCCTTTTCAAAGTCCCAGGTCAGATTTTTCTTTAGCTTTTGTTTTTTTTTTTTATTTATTTATTTTTTTATTGTGGTTTTTATTATTTTTTGTTACCTTTATTATTTTTTTGCTGTTTTTGTTGTCTTTTTGTCATACTATCAATTTTAAAAAATTCCTTGCCGTTTTTTTTATTTTTTAACTTGTTTTATTATTTTTTGTCGTGTTGAAAATTTTTTGTTTTTATTATTTATTGTTATTTGTATTCTTTTTAATTTTTGCTGTCTTTTTAGTTTTTATTGTCTTTTTACTTTATATCATCATATTGTTTTTGGTTTTTGTTGTTTTCAAGCTTAAGAAACTTTCCTACAGCTTTTTATTTTTTTAATCTTATTTTTCTTATTGTTTTGTTTTTTCTTATTGTTTTGTTTTTTCTTATTGTTTTGTTTTTGTTGCCTTTTTAGTTGTGGTAGCCTTTTTGGTTGTTTTAGTTTTCGTTGTCTTCTCTCCAGCTTTTTGTTGATTAGCTTTGTTGTATTTTGTTTTTATTTTTGTTGTATATATTTCAAACAATATATGCTGCAATTTTTTTTTTTTTTATATTGTCTGAAATTTTGCAATTAATATGATATAAATATTTCTCTACATTCTGCTTTTACTTTTCTTTTTTGTTGTTCCATCATTAAGCTGCTTCCTTCTGTAATTCCTGACCATGGTGGATCTCTTTTTCATTTTTTTATTTTTTTTATTTCATCCTCAATTTCAACACAGTAAAACAAATTCTAGTTACAAAATTGCAAAATTCAGTGTTTAATAATTCTTTGATCACTACCACCAGAAACATTGAGTTTGTTAGTGCAAGTGGAGGAGTTGGTGTGCAGTGATGACCGCTGAAACCTTGCCTACATGCAGACACACACAGTTTAGTTAGTACTGAAATATAATTGTGATTATCATTTCATTACACCCACCTCCCTGCACATGCCAAAATTTATTGGAGGACTATAAGTATTTATTAGACTGAATGTAAGTTCTTAATATTTGTTTAATCATCTTTACCCATATCATAATTTACAAACAAACACCAACACACACTAGCTCTTTGCGGTTTCTTGGTATCACATTTTCTGCTGGCATGAAGCAGAGCGATTATATTGAAAAATCAGATCTATTTTAAAATATGTTGCCTAAAAAATATATATATATATATATATATATATATTGTATTGTATTTTATAGTTATAATTATATATTATTTATATTTATTTATTTTATATTATATATTTTCCCTCCTCACCTCTTTTTTCATTAGTGTGAAAATTGTTCTTTTTTTCATCATACATAAGACAAATGCTTTCCTTCCATTGAAGTGTTGGACAAACAGTAAAAAAAAATATAATAAAAAAATGCCATCATGCATTTTTAAATCAATATATATACAGTGTAACCCGGATATAAGAAAAGATTTTCTCTGGTTCCAAATTAGAGCCTGTGTTAATGTATATAAATTAGACCAAACCTAGATATTCGAGACTTCTCTATTATATCCGGGTTACACTATATATATATATATATATATATATATATATATATATATATAAAATTTTTGCCATTTAGCTGATTGATATCATATTCAACACC